AATAATGAAAGAAGATTTTTTTCATATAAGCAATTACTTGTATTTATATCTTCAGTTTTATTTCCAATCAACACAGAGGAAATTTCTTGGCCCCTATAACCCTGCATATGATATTTTAAGGTTAACAACTTGAAAATTGTTTCTAACAATAATTATGAAAGAACTGTTCAACATTCTGCTTGGTCACATTGCCCCTTGTTTATCCTCTAACTGTTCATTTTCTGAGCCTCTGATCCCTAGGATTTTTTTAATTGGATTCCCAAGTACACTGATTAAATGTATCAACATCTATTGAATCTTCTAAGGGACGTTTAGCACAGGTCACCAGAATGCCTGCAGAGAGGGAGACAGGGAATGTGGTGCCTTGAAGAAAATGCCAGTCTCAGCATAGAGGCAAATGGCAAGTTGTTCAATCAGTTGATGATGGCAAGATGGTATAGCCAGAAAAGTAGGGGCTGCTAATTCACCGATAAGCCTGAAGAAAAAGGCCACTCTCCAAGGTGCCTCGTGACAAGCCTGGAGGGTAGAGAGAATTGTTGCAGTCTACTTTAAGGTGGCAAGCCTGTGGGGGGGGGGGGGGGGAGCTGCTGCAGACTACTGTAAAACAAAATTAAAACATCTAAGTTCGTTTTCCTTTCCCATTGGTCCACACTACGCATCTCACCAGACTCCCATAGAAACAATGACTTCCATCCTCAGATTGGAAAGAGGGTTTACCCTGGAATTTCAGTTTGTCAGACCTGCTAGAAAAGAAACTATATGGCCAGCCCTTAAAGTGCTTACAGCAGGAGCAGATATGTGGTGCTTGCTCTTCTGTATTTCTCCACTACTCACCCACCCCCTGCACACACACACACACACACACACACACACACACACACACACACACACACTCCCTGGAATATCACTGAAGAAATTTACCTATTACTGTCTCAGAATCCTTAGTTAAAAGCCATGCTGAACCCCAAGCTCAACAACAAACTAATACCATGACCTCCATAAGTCCTACTTCCTCTGTATAATGGGACTTCCGTTGCTGAGGTTCCTTTCCACTGTATGAATTCCATATTCATTTAAAAGACTGGGCAACTAATGCATTTGGGGTTCTCTCCCACTTACTATTAAGAAATATTTCTTAGAGTTCCTCTTTTCCCTGGGTTTTAGTTTGACTATTTCATTGCACCCCTGACAGAAAGTATGAAGTGCTTCAGGTTTATAGCATTTTGATTATTATGGAAGAAGAGTGTGAAGGTCATCCTGATGAATTTTCAGAGTCTAGCCTGGACAAAACCTCATTAACAGCTTGAAATGTATGAACATACACTGGGAGGATCATGACACCTGGCTGTTCAGCTTGGGGAGGATCTCCATGCCTCTTTATTAGCCAAAATTTAATCAGAAATTAATTCAATCAAACTTTAGCTACTTTTATAAAACAATCTCCCTACAGTAAAGAAAGAAATTGGCAACAATAGTTATAATTCAAGCAAGTTTAAGGCTGTGGGGTAATCTTTCCTCTAATAAGGACTTAATCTTAAACCTGTGTTGCATCACTAAGGTATGGACAGCCCTTGGATGTGATGCTAAGGATGGCATTGTTTCTGGCTTCTCAGATTACATCCTGTATCTTTTTGATTATTTATTACCCAAGACAGAGAAAGATCCTGGTAAATCGATTATGGAGAAAGGGAGAATGAGTCATGGCTGGGGCTCTGCCTCTGAAAGCACCTTGCCATGCCCTTCTGTTTAGGCACGTCTCTTCTGAGTTCAACCCCCACCCCGAAAAGTCTGCTGTGTGCTGTGTGACTCTCAGCACAAAGGAACTGAACTCTGCTCTGAACTGGCTGCCTGAAAACAAACTGCACTGCTTGGCCTTAAATGTCTGTCCTACAGCTCAGATGTCTCGCAGGGGATCTAGTTAAGGATAGCATTTCTCATGCTTCACTTCAGGGCAGTACATACTTAACATCAGGACATCACACGCTTAGCACAGAAAATGTGCCCTCATCTTGTCCCCTGGACCTCAGGCATATCAAAGGGCCTTCAAGACTACTGAAATAAGGGTAAGCCAAAAAGTGTGTTCTTCGCTATGCATTACGGCAGCCCTTTGACTGTTAGCATTGTGTTCAAAGTTGCTATTTTTTTACTAGTGAGATAAGGTAGTGAAGCCAGTTGGTAGTGCGACAATTGTCTCGGTACCAGTTCAGTACTGGTGCCTTGTATCTTACCTTAGAAAACTAATCCACTCTAGTCTGGATAGACTACATAATCACATTTAATTAAACTTTCCAAAAAGCATGGATGACACGGTAACTTGCATAGAAAGAACATCACTTTGGGAGTTTAAATCTTAAACTAACACTTTTCCACATGGTTTAAAGAGTCAGGTGTGGTTACTTATGCCTATTACTCCAGTACTCAGGAGACTGGGGCAGGAGGATCATTGTATGAGGCCAGCCTAGTGAGTTCCAGGCCAGCCTTGGCCACAGAGTGAGACCCTGTCTAAAATTAAAAAAAAAAAGCAGAAGCAGGAGAAAGTGTGTGAGAGCACAAATAAGTATCATAAACAAGATCACATGAACTCAGGCTAAGCAATAGGAAAGTCTTGGTTTAACACTTTTTATTATCAGAAGCTAAAACAGTGTTCATAGGATGGAAAAGGATTTGGACACAATGATTCCCGTAACAGGGGTGAGATCTGTTTCTACAAGTATTTCTTTTTGAAAATAATTGGAAGAGTATTTCCTCCAGGGAATCTGAAGCGATTCGGTTAAGTTTGCACGCTCCTCTGGCTGCCTAGGAAGAGGCTGCTCTGACCACTATCAGGACCAGAGCTCCACGACGCCCTGCATGACAAAGGACTCCAGCTGTCAACAGACTCACACAATGTGCTGCCTCAGAACAGGACTGTGACAGCCGCTCTGCGGCCAGGCGAATTTCTGTCGCTCCTCTAGAAAGAGGCTAGCTAGCATTCAGAACATCGCAGCACCTCCCATCAAGCTAAGGACACCTCAGTCAGCATCTTCTCCTCACTTTCGGTACTTTGCCATCTGAGCACAAGTGTCTATTTACGCCCAGGCAACAAGTTTCACATGAATCCCACCATTTACACACTCACCATACACCATCGCGCCTCCAGTCTCATGCAAGAAGCGGAATCGATGATTTTTAAATAACCAGATTGTTAAAATGGTAAGGATGAGCAAAAAATTGAAGGCAAGCAGCTCCACTGCTCCCTGGTGTTGAAAATGATCTTCATCCTTCCCTGACGTAAGCCGAAGCTGCCCCGCCATTCTCCGCTCGAACGTGGTGCTCAGAAAAATCCCTGGGTGAGGGATGAACACTTTGAACAGGTTTGCCTAGCACGGACTGTCAGCCCCGGGATTTCAGAATAAACGCTGCTACTTTGTTGCTACTTCACGAGCAATGGTTTAGCATTCATAGGGCTTCTAGTTACAACTTCCTGTTTCTCTCTTAAAGCAGCCTCGTCTCTTTTCAAACTCCAGAAGGTGGTTTCATCATTCTCTGTAAATGATTCATTTTGGGAAGCGATCTTCCACAGAGGTCAAATCTGAAAGCAAGATGCTGATATGTAGACTCTATGCCCCTCCTGTTTCCAGCATGATTTCTTAGACTGTATAGCTGGCAAACTGTAGGTTGATAATAAGCAGTTCAATTCACCACATCAATATTTTTCAGATTCAAAAGGGTAAGTGCGGACCCCTACCTTCACCCATTCAGGTTTCACCTTTCCCGCCAGAGCCTCCCAGGTGCTAAGGATGGACAGATATGACTTCACAGGGGGACTATTTCTTAAATTGAGAAGCACAGATCCAGCACATGATTCTCTGGTTTTCTCTAATTGTTAGTCACAGAGTAGACTTTCCAACTAAAATAATCAAAAGGAAAATTCTAGGCCTGTTAATATGGTATTTGGATATGTTAAGGAGAAAAAAAGGAAGAAAGGGAAGGAAGGAGGGGGGAAAAGGAGAGGGAGGGAGGGGAGGAGAAAAAAGAGGGAGGAGAGGGAGGGAGAAAGGAGAGGGAGGTGTTCAAGACAGTGGCACCTCCAGTTCTTCCTCCTTGGCAAACATCAACACTTCCTTGCTTTTAACAACCAATCACCATGCTGCCAGGTATGCTGTGGAGTCCCAGCATGTCACCACATGGTAGTAATGGAGGAGTGTTAATGTCTAGTTTCTATTCTGAATGAATTAGGGCTCCGTTTCTATTGTGTAATTCACTGAGTATGGAGAATCCAAGTGCGTACTGAAAAAAATACATCACTAAAGGCTTCTGACAAACACATAATAAATAATATTAGGGACTGCCTAATTATGATCTTGCAGGCCTGTAATTCTAGCATTCAGGAAGCTGAGGCAGGAGGATTGATGTGAATTCAAGGTCTCCCGGAGCTACATAGATATGGAAGGCAACCCATCAAAAAACTAGTATTGGGTTGGGGATTTAGCTCAGTGGTAGAGCGCTTGCCTAGCAAGCGCAAGGCCCTGGGTTTGGTCCTCAGCACCAGGAAAAAACAAAACAAAACAAAACAAAAAACAACTAGTATCACTCTCTGGGAGAACTTATCAACGACTCCCCTGCCTCAGCTTCTTTGCTTACAAATTCTGGAGCTGGTTTTCTCTGTGCGCTTGGCTTGGCAGGGGGCATTTGTGTGCGTGGCAGATGTCCTTATGCACTGCCCCATTTGGCAGTCATCTCTGCCATGACTAATATTCAAGAGGTTCTGAAGCCCGTCAGCGACTGGACTGCTTGCGAGTGTGTGCCAGCAGCCTCACCTTCATGATTTGCAACCCCACAGGTTGAGTCCTTAGATTTACAAGACAAGACAAATTCAAAACCTGAGAACTTCCTGTTTTGCTGCTTTTTAAGCCATCCGAGAGTCAATCGCTTTGGTTGTCTCTTGCCATGGTTTCTCCATCTGAGAAAGTACATGTTCTTTGATTGTCTTACTGCGTCGTTTTCACTCTTGTGCCCAGTAAAGAGATGTGACCAGGGGATGAGAAAGAGCCTGAGAAGTTTGGTCAGCTGCACAATCCTTTCCAAAGCTCCGAATTTGATGCTGACAATGGTAAGGCAATGGTAAGGCAGTGCAGAAGGACTAAGGAGAGTGGGTAGAGGAAGGGGCCGCTCACCTGGAGGTCTGGTCCAAGGTTCGTTCCAGCTGAGAGTGGAGAAGGGAAGAGCAGGGACAGCAGTCGCTGGGAAGGTTTTGGACAGAGACAGTTTTCCTCTTCCGTAGATGTTTAAAGGGGAACATTAAAATAGTACGGTGTTGTCTTGAGGCTCAGTGCACATGGCCTTTCTACCTTCCCAGTTATAAAAGCTAGGGATCTCAAAACCCCACGATAGCAAAAGACGGGTTTTAACTCCCTTATTCAACTCCGTGACCCATTTTTTGTTTGTTTGTTTTCTATTATCAGTTTACAACTCCATTCAAGGCACCTCTGGAAAGACCTTATGATTTCATTTGTTAAAGAAAGGAAAGGGGCTGGCAAGATGGCCCAGTGAGTAAAGGCACTTGCTGTCAAACCTGAAGACCTGAGTTCAACTCCCGAGGTCCACGGAATGAAAGGAGAGAGCAGATTCCTGCAAGCTGTCCTCTTGACCCTTTTCTGGACCCTCATGAGTGCTGTCAATCATGTGGCCAGCTGTCAATCTTGACAGTGTCTCCCTCTACAATCTGCACTATGGCTTTGCTCGAATCAAAGTTACCTTGCTTTTTTCGTAAATCTGTGTGAGCCCTATTTTTAATTCTTTGGATAAGATGCCAAAAACTCAGAAACACCTGCCCCCAGAGCCTAACTTCCAATACCAGTTTTGTGTCCTAGGAAAACTAGGATAGCAGATTACCGGAAGAGCCAAGGTTTCCCAAGTTCCCAAATGCTGTGCTCTCTGTATTTGTTGTTGTTGTTGTTGTTGTTGTTGTTTTCGAGACAGGGTTTCTCTGTGTAGTTTTGGTGCCTGTCCTGGATATTGCTCTGTAGACCAGGCTAGCCTCGAACTCACAGAGATCTGCCTGGCTTTGCCTCCCAAGTGCTGGGATTAAAGGCGTGCGCCACCACCGCCAGGTGTGTGCTATCTGTATTAAGGAGATAGATGTTGACAGAAGGAAGATTATCAACTGAAAATGAAGGCACTATGCTGGTTCCTGAGGTCCATAACCATTAGTGTCACATTCTCACATGAACCCCAAACAAGGCCCCTTTGTCTTAGTATGCTTTCTAGTGCGATGATCAAAACAACTTGGTGAGTAAAGAGTTTATTTGGCTCATACATCCAGATCATTGTCCCTCACAAAAGGAATTTGGGGCAGGGACTCAAGACAGGAACCTAGAGACAAGAACTGATAGAGACTCTAGAGGAACACTGCTTGTGCTCACTCAGACTGCTTTCTTAAACCACCTAGGACCACTGGAACACCACTCTGCAATGGCTGGGCACTCCTGCATCAATCATTAACTGAGAGAATGCCTCATAGACTTACCTACAGGCTTTCTTTTTTTTTTTTTTTTTTTTTGGTTTTTCGAGACAGGGTTTCTCTGTGTAGCTTTGCGCCTTTCCTGGAACTCGCTTTGGAGACCAGGCTGGCCTCGAACTCACAGAGATCCGCCTGGCTCTGCCTCCCAAGTGCTGGGATTAAAGGCGTGCGCCACCACCGCCCGGCGAACCTACAGGCTTTCTAATGGAGGCATTTTCTCAATTGAGGTTCCCTCTTCCCAGATGATGTTAGCTTGTGTCAAGTTGACAACAAGAAAAACAAAACAAAACAAAACAAAAACATGGTCCCTGAATGCAAAACACAGCCCTGAGAGAAATTATTAAATGCCTTTAAATCCCAGTCTCAAAACCTGTTGGGAACTGTGTTGAAGGTGCTCATCCCAAGATGCTACATGCCAATGAGCACATATGCATACACAAACAAGTGTGTATAAATGAGCTACAAATGAGATAGAAAAGAGAAAGGATGGATCTCCCTGGCTTGCTGGTATCAGTATGTCCTGCCTCAGCTTGTCCACAAAGCCCAACATCCAGCGAGAAAGAATCAAAGAGAGGAACCTGTCCTGCCAGGGTAAGCCAGGGTGGAGCAGGTCTTGCACACAGGAGGGAATGTCACCCAGTCAGTGTTACAGAATTCACAGTCAACAGTGAGCACTGGTGTTTTAAGGGGTTGCAAGTACAGGCTTGGGAGGCTAGCCACCTAGGACAGGAGACACTGAGGGATTCCGTGTCATGTTCAACGCAGGATCCAGGCAAGCCTGGCATTGTGCCTGTCACTTAGCCTTGTTATTTCCAAGCCATCAAAGGGGCAATGGCATTCTATCCACGGCCTTACGAATGAGGCGGGGCCCCTACAGTCACCCCTTGATTGCCATCTTGTCCATTCTCACCTTGTTTCCTGCAATCACTTCCCCTCTGTCTAGTCCATGGCACCTCTTAACTTCTGGAGGATGATGTTTCTTCAATAAAAACAAGCTTTGGCCCATTGACTTCTCTTCTGTCCTGCACACGTGGAGAGACCAGTCATAAGGGAAAACTGACTCACTGACTTCTTCTTTTATTTGATCTCCACAGGCAAGGCAGAGGGGCTGGCCCCAGGAGCTGTAACTGCCCTGAACCCTGTAGGCTTCTGGCTTGGGATGGAGTAGGAAGCCTGGAGCCAGGGGAAGGAAAGAGATGAGAGGAGCCACACTGCAAAAATCAAAGAACCTGTCAGCCAGGATAACCCCAAAGCCCGGAGCCCGAGAACTTCCCTTTCAGTGTTCTCCTTTCACATGTCCACGTGACAAATGTATTTACCCCTTTCTGTGAAACCTAAACCCTCGGTCTTCCCCACAACTACTCCAATTCCCTTGCCTAAAAGAAACTGCCCTATGACTTAAGTTAATTTTGGATTAAGTCAATTTCGTATGGCCGGGAGCAACAACTCATGCCTGAAATCCCAGCGTTTAGGAATAGAATTGATGTGAATGTGAGGGCCATATAGTGAATTCCAGGCCATTCTGAGCTACAGATTGAGATGGTGTCTCAATCAAAACAAAAATCTTAATAAGGAGAGAAAAGGGGGGAAGGGGAAGAAAGAGGGAGGTAAGTTAGCTTGCTTTTGTATAAACCAACAAAGAAACTGTACCAAGCTCCTCACCTCTCCCTAGTATCCACCTTCTCTTCAGGAGAGGAGAGACAATGGAGTTCAGTACAGGGATGCATGGACGACACAGTGTCTGAAAATGAAGTGTAAATTCCAACCAGACTATGACAGAGCTGCCTCTTTGTCTCGCCTAAGTCAATTCAAACTCAAACCTTTGAGACAGCCATACTCGGGATATGGGAATTTATTGTCTGTCGGACCATAACCAGGACCTGAAAGTCTCAATTAAAACTGCCACTGAGAACTCTGGGTCATGGCAGCTGGCAGAAAGGCCCTTCTGGGTCCCTGACGCCAACCACAAGCACAGCCACTAAAACAGTGGATGATTATGAATATTGTTTGCTCTCTGTGTCTGTCCTTAAAAGATAATCTAAATAGCCTTCCTTCAGTAATGTGGGCTTCAAAATTAAGTCTATAAAGTAAGAATGTTAGATAAGGAATCTTTTCTGAAAGCAATCATTTATTCCAAATTGTACTTTGAAATTATTTCAACCTTGTTTGTCAAGATACTATCACTTTGAGAACCCTTGAATTTGAAAAAAGCAGAATCAAATGGTGATCAGCAATTTAAGATTCAAACAATACTTGACTCCCCAGAGCCTGGTCCTTAAGCTGGTTCTATCTCTATGTGAGAAATGGACTTGTCCTGTTAGAGTTTTAGCAGGTTGAACCTCTCACCTCCCCGGCCACTGTCCTAACTGAAGAAATGTCACACTTTCTGTGACCTCTGTTTGAGAATGTGGCGTAGAGCAGAGACCTTGTGAACTCATTTCTAGTCCACCAGGAGGCTGAGGACCCTACACTCTGAGATGCCACTGCCGTGGGGAACCCTAATCTGCAGAGCAGAACCCACTCACCGTGAGCTGAGGCTCTCTGGAGAGCTGTGTCTGTGTGACGGATCCTGCAGGCTGCTTTCCCTGGACTGAGCACGACGCTGAGACTGGAGATGAGACATTACAAGCCAACTGCTAGAATTACCTTGGACCTTCTTTAGCCCTTTCTTATGTATTATTGTCCCTTCTAGCCAGCTTCCGCCTCTGATTTAACACCCTTGCTTTGAGATAAAGCTCTTGGGTTTTATCGTTAAACTCAAAGAAGCTCTGTTCTCCACCAAGCTGAAAGCTGAAAATGTGATCAAAGAGATTTCCCTGCCTTGCTGCAGCGCTTCTGCTCAATAACCCACAAGTGTATCCTGTAGGTTCATGACTTTGTCACTTTTCTTTTGTTCTGTGATCACATCAGCTCATGCAATCTCTTCCAGGGTGGAACATGTCTTTCAAGGAAACTGGAATTCAGGTCCCCAAGCTACTATCTGGCCCAGAATAAACCGGTTTATTTGTTTGTGACTTGTTTTGTTATTATTTTTTGAGAGAAAGAGAGTATTTGTCCCTAGGCTGTAGCCTAGGTTGGCCTGGAACTCACTACATAGCCTGGGCTGGCCTTATACTCCCCTTGTCTCAGCTTCCTGGGTGCTAGAATCACACGTGTACGATATGACATTAGGCAGGCCTTAAGCTAGTTTTCTGTTTCCTTAAGGCACAGTTGTTATTTTATTCCCATCACATCCATAAGCTCAGCCTATTTTTACAAAGACGCTCTCCTGCAAAGACAATACAGGAAAGAGAAAGAACTTTAGGGTTGCACTCATCACCCTCAACCTCATAGGCTCACTGACTGTTGGTTAGTCATGTGAGGAAAAGGTTCAGTCTTGGATTGCAAGCTTAGGAAACTCACCTCTGTCAAAGAGTAGTTTAATCGGGTGATGCCTTGGTCCCCTCAGATGGTACCTGTTACAAGGGGTCAAAAATAGAAGCCAAACCATTCAATGCCACATCCCACAGATCAGAAATATAGGTAAACGTTCTGCCCTGCATGGACCACGGTGGCAATGTGAAGCCTGTTGGGCTGAACCACTGTAATAGTGAAGGGAACAATCTCTCTGGTTCTTGAGGTTTACTAATTGATCCTGTGGGAGCCCATAGAGGCTCTCTAGTGAGACTTTACTCAGGGTCAGAGAATCTGAGCTTGCTTTACCCAGCAGGGCTGCATAAGGAGATGATTTGGTCATGGGCGTGTTTACCAGGTGTTTGGAAGGGTCTATACTTGGCTGTATGGTGTGCTTTGATCTTGCAAGGGGGAAGTCTTTTGCCTCTCCCCTTGTACAAAGCCCTTTTGAATAAACAAAGTCGCTGTTGGGTATTGACTCAGGCCCTCCCAAAGCTATCATGTGTTTCTGTCTTTCTTCTTGTCATCTAGGTCTCTCTTTCTACTTAATATTTCCTAATTCCTCTCTCGTCTACCCAAGAACCCTTCCAAAGGTGGGAGCTGGTCCCTCACATGATCCTACTGTAATTACTGACAAAAGTTACATTAACAGAAGGGGTATGCAAATGTAGTCTGTGCAAGTACATTGGAGGGGCATCACAGGAATGCAAAGTGAGCGCTCCATGATGCCGTGAGATTTAGTTTACATGCCCTCTTTACAATAGGGAACTAGGTGGGGAGATGGGGCTTTAAGAGCATCTGGAGGAATAGTAACAGATTTTTAGGAGGATAGGATAAATGTACTTAAAAACAAACAGTAGGCTAGGACAAAGTAAGCCCTAGGTGATATGGTAATAAGTCAAAGGAAAGTGAGGGGCAAAGGCTGAAAGCACAAAGGCTATCTTTGCCATGCAAAGAGTCTCCCCAGGAAGAGATGTCAAGAGAACATACAGGAAATCTACAAGGCCAGGCATGACGGTGAAGATATTGAGTTTTTTGGATAACGATTAATCTTTAAGAAGATTTAGGGAACTCTTGCTTTCCTTCTGCAGGAACTACCTCTGCAATTTCAGATGAAGCCTCACCCAGGGCTTCAGAGGGGTGGGGTCTTGGAGACAGGTCTACCAGAAAAATCCCCAGGCAGCTTCTTACACTGATGCCAAGCACTGCACGCTGGGTACCATTTTCAGAGATCCAACAGTGCCATGCCTGGAAACCAGCATCGCACTAGAGAAGATCTGGCCGCTCTCATACTCAGGAGAACTCTTTCTGTCCACTATTGGGACCGGTGTGCTCAGTGCTCAAAACGATGCTCTAAAAGGGTGAAAAGTTTCCTTACGTCCACCCACATCAAAGGGTGATAGTGCACTCCAGCTGAGTCTTTTAAGCATCTAAGTTTGAGCACAACAAACATCGAATGTTGATGTTTAAGCATCTAATGTTGACCAAAAGTTGTGCCAAGCCTTTGCCTAAGCAGCTCAAAGTACACCATGTTAATGTCAGCCTAAATAGGCTTAGAAGTTATATCATGAAACAATATCCAGTACTTAAAGCACTAATCTCAATGACTGAGATTCTTATTTTTGCTCAGTTTTGTTCTTTTGAGACAAAGCCCTGCTATGTAGCTCCGGCTAACCTGGAACTCACTATACAGACCAGGCTAGCCTTGAACTCATAACAGTTCTCCTGCCTCTGCCTCTCAAGTGCTGGGACTGCAGACATGAGCCACCATACCTGGCTGTAACTGTTGAATTGTGGGGGGAAAAAAAAAAAGAAAAAAGAAAAAAAAGCACGGAAATCTAACTTCCCTCCTTCTTGTAGACTTAGATTTTTTTTCTTTTTTGCCCCTGCGGTTCAGTTTCTTCAGATTGGTCTCGTTCTGATGCATCTTCCCCACTTGTAAGTAGCACTTCGTGCTTCTCTGTTTGAGATCACGCAGTTGTCTCAGAGTCTGCCACTTAGAGCCAATGACTTGTACGTAAGACAAATGTGTGCTTTGTTCAGACACATCCAGTCACCTTCACCACCCTACGCTGGCCAGTCCCTCCTACAGCGTGACTTCCAGCAGCTCACTCTGGTTTGGATCTGATGGGTTTTTTTTTAACCCAACTGGTCCCTTTTCACTGTGTTTTATCTGGCCAGATTTTGAGTCACTTCACTGAATGAACCAAGGCCATGTGAGTTTTGATACCTGTAATGAACACCTTCCACCTTACCTAGCAATCTTTTTTTTTTTTTCTGAGACGGGGTTTCTCTGTGTAGCTTTGGAGTCTGTCCTGGAAGTCACTCTGTAGACCAGGCTGGTCTCGAACTCACAGAGATCTGCCTGGCTCTGCCTCCCAAGTGCTAGGATTAAAGGTGTGAGCCACCATCACCTGGCCACCTAGCAATCTTAACGTGGACTCTGTGGATCTTCCTGGTTCTTCTCCCATGAATGCTGTTTGGAGTTCTGAAACTGCTCTATGCAGCGACTCCTTGAGGTTTCCCATCTCCTCTCTTATTGAAAACCTAAGAAAACTGTCCTCAAAATATTAGATTCGAAGAAACAATAGCTTGTTGTTTGTTTGTTTTTACTCTTTTGGCACTTTTCAGGGGCTCGCCACCCAGGTCCCAAATAAATCACACACAGAGGCTTATTCTTACTTATGAATGTCCGGCCTTACTTTGGCTTAGTCTCTTGCCAGCTTTTCTTAAATTATCCTGTCTACCTTTAGCCTTTGGGCTTTTCGGGTTCTCTTACTTCTGTAAATCTTACTCCTACTCTGCGGCTTGATGTGTAGCTGGGTGGCTGGACCCTGGAGTCCTCCTCCTTCTCTGGCTCCTCCTTTTTTTTCTCTTTCTCCCCTCCTCCTACATTCCTTCTTCTGTTTATACTCTCTGCTTTCCAGCCCGGCCTATCCTATCTCCTGCTTCACTATTGGCCGTTCAGTTCCTTATTGGACCATCAAGTGTTTTAGACAGGCAAAGTATCACAGCTTCAAAGAATTAAATGAATACAACATAAACAAAAGTGACACACCTTAAAATAATATTCTACAACAGTAGCTTCTTTGACAAATAAACAGACAAAATGAGGTGGGGCTGTTAGATGAAAAGAAATTAATGGATATATCAACCAAATGCAATGTGAACACTTTACTGATTCAAACCAATCTAATTATATGTGTGTATTGAGGAATGTATATGTGTCATTTATAAAACTAGAGAAGTTAGAAAATGGGTAGGTATTATATAATATGACTTCATATTTTAGGTATGAAATAATACTATAGTTAAATTTTTCTTTAAATTCTTATTTCTTTAGCTGGGTGTGGTATCTATGCCTAGAATACCAACCAGCATTTGGGAAGCAGAATTGACATGAGGCCAGCCTGGGCTACGTAGTGAGATCCTTATCTCAAAAAAAACCACAAATCAAATAACAACAAATCAAACAGCTCACACAACTTATTTGTATAAGATAATACAGATGAAATTATGAGATGTCTGGAAATCCAACAGGTGCTTAGAGAAGGGAGAGGAGTCCTACAGGTGCCTAGATCAGGGAGGGGGTTCAACAGGTGCTCACAGCAGGGAGGGGAGTCCAGCAGGTGCCTAGGGCAGAGAGGGGAGTCCAGCAGGTGCCTAGGGCAGAGAGGGGAAGTCCAGCAGGTACCCAGAGCAGAGGGAAAGTCCAGCAGGTGCCTAGGACAAAGAGCCGGAGTCCAGCAGGTGCTTAGAGCAGGGGGAGGAATTGAGCAGGTTTTTAGAGTAGAGAATAGAAGTACAACAGGTCTTAGAGGGGGTGGGGAATCTCACAGGTACTTAGGGGAGGGAGGAGGAACCCAGTGAGTATTTACAGGGCTGGGAAAGGGGAAGGGAGAATCCAGCAGGTTCTTAGGGAAGGAGTCCAGCAGGTACTTAGAGTGGGAGGGGGAATCTAGCAAGTGTTTAGAGGAGAGGAGTCTAGCAGGTGCTATCTGGGGAGGGAGCAGGCAGGTACTTAGGGGAGGAGAATCTAGCAGGTGTTTAGAGGAGTCTAGCAGGTGCTGTCTGGGGAGGGAACAGTCCAGCAGGTGCTTAGAGGGGGAGGAGAATCTAGCAGGTGTTTAGAGGAGTCTAGCAGGTGCTGTCTGGGGAGGGAGCAGTCCAGCAGGTGCTTAGAGGAGGAGTCTAGCAGGTGCTGGAGGACGACACAGGCATGGACAGTTGTGTTGACAGCTGCCAAAATTGAGAGATGGACACATTAAAGTTCAGCATGTTCTACTCTCTTTTCAATGCATTTTTGCATATTTCCATAAGTAACAATTTAAAATAAGGTCAAGGTAAGTTCTTTCTCCATGGTTTCCTTGGTCTGGACTTCCACTGAGAGAGTTGGCCCAGCTTGTTCTCCCAGGCTCGCTTTCTTCATTTGGTCTTTGAAGTGCCCTCCTCCCAGCTGACAGTGGCAGCTAGGACATTTCCTTTCTTTCTAGTTTTTCTGTTTTCAAGAATTTGACATTTCACTATCCCCTGCCAAACCTCTGTTTCCCCTTCCAGCCATCCTCATCCCTTTGTGTCAGCCACCGCCCTGCACA